TGAGTTCGAGTTGAGCCTTTCAAGCCGAACTTCTAAACGAAACTTTTACGAGTTGAGCCGAGCACGGAAAAGTATGTACTATTTATATGAGGTTTATCATTAAAATGTATACTTGTTTAAAAAAAAAAAAAAAGAGAAATGGAAAACAATATTCAATAATATATAATGTAATAGTAATACAGCAACGGAACAAACATTGAAGCCATCTGTATAAAGTAGAACCTATTTGAAATGACATCAGCTCAGCCGCATTTTTTCGATAAAGATGTCAGAACCACGCATTCATCTGCATGCATGTGATTTTCCCGAGAAAATTTACTCACCCAACTTCCAAAAGACTTCCGAAAAACTTTTTCCACAAATTCTCCCTTGTTGATTGCAATTCTATAATTATTTATGAGCTTATTTAAAGTATTGAAGTGCAAAAAAATATTGAAATAAGATGTTGTTTGTCTAAGCTTATAAGCTGATCAAAGTAGTTTATAAACTCTAAAATTAAGTCAATAAGTTTGTTTACTAACATACATATTGAGGTTTGATTACTTAACTCAATTAAACCTCTCAAATTCTAGTTTCTCAATTCTATCCCCCTCTAAAGCATTTTGCTTACTTAACTCAATTAAACCTCTCTCACTAATGTGTCCCAACCTTTATGCCAAATAGAGGTTTGATTAGGTTTCTGAGATGTTACTGCTGCTGTTCCAGTAATAGTGGATCCATTTAAGACATATAGACCATTCCTTTTCTCTCATTTCAAACCACCAAAGACCCTTTGGTAACTTTAATGACTCCACCTTGAGCTTGTAACTAAAACCATTGAGTCCAGACTACCTAGGGAAATCAGGTTCCTTTTTAACTCAGGTATGTACCTAACTTCTGAAAGAATTCTAGAACTGCCATCATGAAGACTTAATCTGACATCCCCAATGCCTAATACACTACATACTGCATTATTTCCCATTAGGACCTTGCCAGATTCTATCTTTCTAAAGTTTATAAGAGAACTCCTATTTGAAATCATGTGAAAAGTGCAACCAGAGTCCAAAATCCACTCAGATTCAGATTCCCTATCAGAAGCTACAAGAACATCAGAGTCATCAACCCATCTGAGGCTATATCAACACTGCCACTAACCTCTTTCTCCCCTGATCTCTTCTTCCTATCTGGACAATCCCTTTTAAAGTGTCCTCTTTGTGACAGTGGAAACACTTCCTGACAAACTTGGATTTTGACTTAGATCTATTTCTAAAAAGACCTGTCTTAAACTCCTTTTCTCAGTTCTGCCCCTGACATTCAGACCTTCCCCATCTAACTTACCTCCTTCCTAAACTCAGTATCCTTAGTAGTAATAGCTAACACAACCTCATCTAGCTTAAGGGGTTGTCTACCATACTTAAGTGGTATCAACAAAATTTGAAAAACTTTTGGGAAGAGAATTCAGAAGAATTACAGCCTGAACCTCATCTTCAATGGTAACACTGAGACCTTCTAAGTCTTGAATTAGTTTCCTAAAATCATTTATGTTGTCACCTAAGACCTTGTTTTCATCCATTTTAAAACTAAAAAATTTCTGTTTTAAAACTAACCTATTTGGTGAAGACTTAGACAGATATAAGGAGTCTAATTTTTCCCAAATCTCTGCTGGTGTTTGCATCTTCTAACCTCTCTTAGGACTTTATCTCCTAGCCTAGGATTAAAGAACTGTAAGCCTTATCTAGAAGTTCTTTCTTTTCTTTTTCAGTCAAGATCTCTAGTAAACTCTCCTCACCTCTAAGGTAGCAGACAACCCATCCTTGACTAAGACAACTCTCATTTTCATCTTCCACAACCCATAATCGTTATCTCCTGTAAAATTTTCCAGTTCATACTTAGACATTTGTAAGTTTCTAACCTTCCTAGTACCTTAGAAACTAAAAGCCCCAAATTTTAGAGACCAGCCGAAAACCCTAAGTAGCAAATAGAACTGTAGAAACCCTAGATTACTGCAGAAAAAAAAAATTGGATCTCACAACCTAGAATTAATGGAATCTAGGTACTCGAAAACCAAGCTCTGATACCATATGTTGTAAATAAGACCCAAAAAAACAAGTGTAATCATGCAGTAGCTCAAAGTGTTCATTCAACCAAACAAGCACAAAAGCAAATAATAACACAGTAAAGCAGAAAATAAGAAGAATAACACCAGATTTATAGTGGTTTGGTAATCTGAATGATTACCTACATCCACTCTTCAGAACAACTAGAAAGATAATTTCACTATGAGTTTGAGAAAACCTTACAGAAGAATCGGCTCACCCCTTTACAACAAGGCATCACCCCGATACAAAACCCTCTGATTTACACCCGTATACCCAGATGCTCTCACCATCAACCACATCAAATAGGCAGAAATCAGTACATATTTATACAAAGAAAAGAAGACTACACAATAAGGACAGCTCACACACTACCATCACCGTTGATTCCATGGACAGATCTTGGATTTCTAGCACAGCACCTCTAATCGTTTCTCTCTCTGTTAACCAAGAGAGAAATGAGAGAAGTGAGTTGCGCACAAAACCTAAAACGAATTTAGGTTTTTAGAACACAGGGAAAAGACTGAACTGCCCTCAAGTCTTAACAAATTACTTTTGACCAGCCAACTCCAAAGTTGACTTCCACGTGTGTCATCAAAATGCCACATCACAACACAAACTCATCAGATGACATGAAATCATCACAGCAGCTCAGCAAATGCCGAACTTAAAGAGTGTTGAAGAAAATGCAGCTGCAGTGAAAGAAAGAAACGGAAAAAAAAAAAAAAAAAAAAAAAAGGTTTGAATAGCTGTTAGTGTTATTGGACCTAGGAGGGCCATGGCCACCCCGAACCTAAAATTTTGAAAATTTAATGTATGACTATGCAATTTTACCCCTTAAAAATCCTTTTAGTTTCTTTGGCCCCTTGTTTTTCCAACTCGACCTTCACCCCCTCAATAATTACAATGTAGTTCAGATGCTATTCGGCTTCGCACTTTGCTAGGTGAAGGGCTTTGCAGCATAGTTCCAACAGTGGTATTGGACTCAAATCCCACCTTCAAATTCTCAAATGAAGCTTTAAGTTTAGAATAAAATGTTTATTCTTCCATGTATCCCTTTTCTTGAGAAGAATATTAAAAAGGGTGCTTCAACAGATCCTGAGAAGAATAGTAGTAAGGGTGACTTGAGCTTGCGACTTGAACTTTGTATTCCTTTTCTCTTCATATTTTCTAGCTAGGGATGCTTATTCTTTTATCATTTTTCTTAACCGGCTCTAATGAACATCCTGAGATCCAGGTGAACTCATTCTTTGTCAATAACATACATTACACACTCAAGTTCACCACCTCTTAGCACTTCCACCAAGTCAAGTGCATCACCTGCAACTAAGAATGAGTGAAATTGTCACCAGGAATCCAACTTTCAGCCGCCACCAAGAATCCAACCAGGTTTCGACGAAATTCTGTAAAGAAACAACGGTGATATTAAATGAAAACCGCGTGAAAGTGAATCGAATTACAGATACAACTAGTTTTTTAGAGAACACGGTTGTGGAGATGGGGTAAGGGCAGTAAGAGCAGCAACACTTTTGTTAAATTAAATTGCTCTTTTACCCCCTAATATTGTAATTGATAATGGTTTTATGGTAATTAATTTTGTAATTGCTACCGAGACTAACCAACACTTAATTTATTCGCAAGTAATCTAAAAAAGTGGCGGTAGACGTAAAATAATAACTAGGATGCTCAATACCCACCATCAAATTTAAATCTAATTATACGGTAGGCACATGGGTACAACTCCAAATGGACCAAAGTTTAAAAGTTCAATACTGACAACTCATCAATGCAAGAGTCCACGAGAAGAAAGCATATAATCTCTTATACTAAAATCAGGAAAGGTAACCATGAGTTGTGGTTGTAACTAGTAACTGAACTCTTAGTGGATGAGCTTTACCTGTAATGTCAAAGGTTTGAATTTCACTGAAAGCACAAGCTTTATTGCCAAGCCATTTACCCAAGTCCCGATCAAGAATTAATCTCATAAAACAAATAAGGAAAAGTTATTTACATCCAAATAGAAGTGTAGATAGTGATTACATAATTGTAATTATAAGAAAATAATCTCCAAAAACATTATTGTTTTTATACTAACATCAAGAAAGATTATTTACATCATAATATAATATATATATATATATATATATATATATATATGTGTGTGTGTGTGTGTGTGTGTGTGTGTGTGTGTGTGTGTGTTAGAAGTTTTATACTGACTAGGTACAATCAAGTCTATTGATTTATAAGGGTTTGATTGTGAAGGAGAGTGTTGAAATCTTACACCGATTAGGTGCACTTAAATTTATTGGTTTATAAGAGGGGGTAATCCTCGGTGAGGAGTCAGACACACCTCAAATTTTATATATATGTGTGTGTGTGTGTGTGTGATTATATATATAATTAACTAAAAGTAATCCCAATAAAATTAACTAAAAGTCATGCCAATCGGCATAAATGTCGATACATAAGCTCGGGTATGCAGCAGCTAAATGTCTATTAACCTTAACCAATTTATTAACCCTTTCATATTTGACAGTTCATAGTACTATACTATATGACTTTCCTTCATCTTCGACTATTCACCAATAATTTTGTCGTTTGCTCCTTCAACTTTAAAATTAAAAATGACACACATAATTAAACATAATGTAATCTATATCTGTATATGAAAGTTTTGGAGTGTATATTACTATATTATTAATGGAAAAGAAATAATAATAATAATAATAGTCGTTTGCTCCTTCAACTTTAAAATTAAAAATGACACACATAATTAAACATAATGTAATCTATATCTGTATATGAAAGTTTTGGAGTGTATATTACTATATTATTAATGGAAAAGAAATAATAATAATAATAATAATAAAAAAGGATAATTTTTGAGTTGATTTATCTAAGCAAGTATATACTTTCATTCGCCCATAAACATTAGCTCATAAACAAAGCCAAATCACATTCAAAGAGAGAACTAATTAATTAACACATTATAATTAATCAAAAGTTCGAGCTGGGAATCATACATAACATATCAACTTATACATAAAATAAACTAAAAGTTATCCCAGTCGGCATAAATGTCGATACATAAGCTAGAGTATGCAGCAGCCAAATTAGCCGAAAAAGCAACTTCATCTTCATAATTCACTCCACCATTAACACACTTATTACCATTTTCCATTACAGTAGCACATGAAGATTCTGAATTCGAATTTGAATTCTCCGTCGCTTGTTTACCGGTAAGCCGCTGCACGAGCCCCATGAATTCTTCAGGTCTTACATGAATAATCTTGGGAGACACCAAATATATCACTACAGGAGATTTTACTCTTTGAACATTATTATTATTGTTCTTCTTCTTCGTCATAATCTTTGAAGAGCTCTTGCTTACCTTAAGAGCCGCAGGCCGCGGACCCTGAAGCTTTGAACTTTTTGCAGACATGTTCATCATCGATAAGATTGATTTTCTGGAAAACTTTGAGAGTTTTGGAATGAAAGTGAAGAATCCCAGAAGGGTTTATATATATATATAAACGAAATGAAGAGAGGGAGAAAGAAATGAGTGAACTTGGCCTAGGGTTGAATAGGTCTTGGGTTTTTGTAACAGAATATCTATTTATTTTGCATGGGTTGGATATGCCGGCATGCACTTTGTCAAGAAATTATAAAGTAAACTTTTAAGGTTCTATCTTTAGTTGAACAATTAATCAAAAGGAGGATGAGACAAAGTCAGTGAGTGAGTCAAGTCAAAAGGACAGTAGATGAGTCTTTTTCTTCTTTCGTCTTACAACATTCACCAACTTCATTAAATTTTTGTGTATGACTTTACTCTTTGAAATTTTCGCATACAACAAAACCAATAACCCTCTTCTCATTCTTTATGATGTGTGTTTTATTTTTATTAAAAATAGATATACTCATGTCTTCAATATATATATGTTTGAAGATTAATAAGTGGAGAGAGGCAATTTGCTATTCAAAGTCATTATTGATTCATAGTAATTAATTTAGATTTAAAAATTATTTATTATTTCATAAAACCATCTATCAAAAAGAAAAAAAATTTAAATAAAATAGCTTTGACACGACCTTGCCGACATAAATACTAAACTTATCATCGGTAGAAGAATAGAGAAAAATTAAATTAAATTAATTTGGGTAATGTTGTGTGTGGCTTTTCCGCTAAGCTCGGGCCAACAAGAGGATATAGCTCGACCTAGAATGAGCTCGGCAACAATGATTGATCAACCCAGCAAAGCTCGTCGAGCCAAAGTTCGACCCAGTATAAGCTAGACATGGACAGTTCAAGGAGTCATTCAATCAACCTCCAGATTATTTCAGATCTCATATATTACGAGAATGATCAGATCAACCGCGATCACAACGCCCAATTGCGAGAATACAGGAATTGCGATTTAGATAAATTATAATTCCCTTAATTTCGCTCTTTTCTTTGTACAAATCCTATATATAAACCTCTTCAAACAAGGAGGAAGGGGTTACGAATTTCACATAGGAACTATATTGTAAGCTCTCATAGCAAATACAAAAACAGTGGATATAGGCTTTAGAGTTAATCTCGCCGAACCACTTTAAAACTCTAAGTGTCTTTACTTTATTGCGTTTTTTACATACATTACAAATTATTCTTAATCACGCACACATCAGTTCCAATCCCGACAAGGTCGATCGGATCTCACTGATTGGTGCAAATTTCTATATCAACATCTTGGTGCTAGAAGGAGGGCTTAAACCTTCGCCAATATTTCGAAGATCCTGGCAAATGTTCACTGCAATTTACTTGTCCTAGGACCAAAATAGTGTTCACCAGATCAAGAACTACCACCGGAAATCACGAGAACGTGGAAACCACCCATCAGGAGGTGCAACAGGAGAACGCTGGACGCCGACCACTTATGCCGCTAGCTCAGCACGCCGCAAACAACTAGAGGGCAGGGACATCAAATCCCGAGGATGGCCAGCTGATGGAGATGATCAGGACAATGGTTGTACAGGCAGTGCAACAGAACATGGCTGAGCTGAGGAACCAACAACCAATTGCCTAGAACCTTGACTAGTTGCACTTCGCCAACGCCAACACCACCCCAACAGGTATGAATTTTGCAGGTGGACAGTCCTCTTCATCGCCGCCGAGGGGTGATCAACACCTCCAACCTCGCAAGCAGCACTCCATACATGAGCGTGAATCCCGCAGGCAAACAAACCCCAGAAGGCGTCTAGGGAAGCAATTGTTGAGGGAAAGCGAAGGCGACGAACACAACCGAGAACCTTGGCGGTATTCCCAACATTAGCATGCCAGTTTTAACCCACGCCCAAGACAAGATCGATCATCATAGGCTCGCGATGCGAGTCATGTATTACAATTTGGCAATGACTGACATTCCAATTATGACCGACATCGCGAGCAACACACTAACGAGCATGATAGTACCTACCAACCCAGCCATCATGACTCAACCTCGCACATCAACATGCGCACCGGAAGAGCTTCACAAGCAACAGACTTGCGAACTCATTTGCTCGAGGTACAACTTAATAGAGCCAACCAGGCCAGGGCTACCAAAGTGAAGACTTAGATCGTATGCAAAAGATGATAGATGATCTAAAAGTTAGCCAGAACAATCTGGTTGAGGAAATAGTAAGTTCCCCCTTTACAGAGGAAGTTTGCCAAGCCTCGCTTCCACAAAGGTTTAGGGCGCCAGAGAGCAAGTTCGACGAGAGAGGGGACCCTAGGGATCAGCTCGATAACTTTAATGACTTGATAGAGCTATACCAGGTTAGTGATTTAGCAAAATGTCGGTGCTTCGCAGTCACATTAGTCAAGGATGCCAAGAGGTGATACAAGCGGCTTAAGGCGAACTCCATCAACTCCTAACAATAATTGTCCGTATTGTATCTACAGTAATTCCAAGCGAGGAGACAGTTCATAATGCCACTCAGCTACTTGAGCAACATTCGCCAAGAGCAGAATGAATCACTGACCTCATATTTAACAATGTTCTAAAACGAGCAAGCAAAGGTCATTAATGCCCCTGAAGAATCCATTCGAACTCTACTGATCATAGGGATCAGACCTAACATAGAGTTGTGGAAAGAGCTCCTAAGCGAAGATCATGTGAGCCTGGCCAAACTCTACCAGATGGCCACGAAGCACCAGCGAGTAGAGAGCTCGTTAGCGATACTAGCTAGAAGCTTGACGCATGGGGGCTGGACAGAAGACAGGATCGCCCCTCGGATAAGCGTGGGGGCCAAGACCGTGGTGACATGGATCACAACAGATTTCAAAAGGAGCAGAGAGTAGATAACCGCGGAGACAAGCAACCTTTCCCATGGTATGTAGAGTACACCCCCCTCACTCAAGACATTGCTCAAATCTATGAAGTATCCCGAGAGGCAAAAAGGCTACCCGATCCACAAGGATAAGGGGGGCACTAGGCAAAAGTGATCGGCAAAAATATTGCCAGTACCACAGGGATGTCGAGCACAACACGAGTGACTGCCGAGCTTTGAAGGATGTCATCGAGGACCTGATAAGAAGAGGTCATTTGAAAGAATTTGCCAAGGTAGAACCAGCTCGAGAGAATCCTAGCGAGCAACGTAGCCAGGTCCCAAGTTAGGCTCAGACCCCAGCTCAACAAGCTCCGCCAAATCCCAATGAGGTCTTCGTGAATATGATCTACGGAGGATCAGATATAGCGGGAGGCTAGAACAGACTCGGTTCCCCTAATAATGAGTTGCGAACAGAAGCTGCCCAAGCGATCCAAACAGGAAAACTAGGTAGTGGGGTTCATAGTCGACGAGTGCGAAACATCCCCTCGCCATAATCATGATGCAATTGTAATCGCAATCAGGAATTGCAATGCAAAGGTGTTAAAGGTTATGGTTGACAACAGGAGCACAACAAACATCATTTTCTTGAGAGCCTTCCAAGGAATGAGATTCACAGAAAGGAACTTACGAGCATGCCTTTTTCCGTTCTATGGGTTTACCAGGGACAACCTAGTTCCCAAGGGTACTATCGATCTTCCCGCAACAATAGGGATAGAGCCGAAGGTCAGAACTATGATGGCTGAATTCCTGGTGGTGGACTACCTGACCACGTATAACATCATCCTTAGAAGGCCAATCCTGAATGATTTAAGCGCAATCACATCAACGCGCTACCAAGCAATGAGATTTTTGACTTTCGGGAGAGTTGTGACGATCAAGAGCTACTCAAAGGAATCTTAAGAATGCTACAATCGGGCTATAAACATCGCACAGAAATGGCCGCATCTAAAAACAATGATCATCGCAGAATCCAAGCTGAACCTCGGACTGCTAGAGGACACTATAGATCCTCACATTCATAAAAAAGAGCCAGCGACGAGACCAATCGAAGAGCTGCTAGAGATAAGTGTTAGCGAGGAGGATCCAACTCGCATGCTGAAGATCGACATCACTTGACTAGAAAGATGGCCAATAGTCTAGTCGGGTTCTTGAAGAAAAATCTCGACATATTCACATAGGTGCATGCGGATATGGTTGGGATCAACCCCGAGGTGATGTGCCACAAGTTAAACCTCGACTCACAAGCTCAGCCCATAAGACAAAAAAGAAGGGCCATGGACGTAGAACGATCTCAAGCGCTCAAGGATGAAGTCAACTAACTCCTAGAAATCAATTTCATCAGGGAAGTCAAGTATCCGGACTGGCTCGCTAACCTAGTCCTAGTCAAGAAGCTGAATGGCAAGTATCGTACTTGCATCGACTTTATGAATCTGAATAAAGCTTGTCCGAAAGATAGCTTTTTGCTACCACGAATTAACCAGCTAGTAGATGCGACAGCGGGAAATGCATTGCTTAGCTTTATGGACGCATACTCGGGATATAACCAGATCCTAATGTATCAGCCCGATGAAGAGCATACTTCATTTATTACTGACCGTTGGATTTATTGTTATAAGGTTATGCTGTTTGACCTCAAGAACGTAGGGGCGACCTACCAACGTTTTGGTGAACAAGATGTTCGCCAACCAAATCAGGTATTCCATGGAAGTGTATATCAACGACATGCTCGTCAAATCAAAGGTTGCCAAAAGCCATATTGGGCACTTGAGGGAAATGTTCGACATCCTTAAAAGTACCAAATGAAGCTCAATCCATTGAAATATGCTTTCGGGGTGAGCTCCAAAAAATTCATAGGCTTCCTCATGAACCAATAGTGTATAGAAGCTAACCCGAAGAAGATTCAGGCCCTACTCAATGTGAAAAGCCCAACCGACATAAAACAGGTACAGAGTCTGACTGGACATGTGGCTGCGCTCAGTAAGTTCATTTCTCGAGCCACGGATTGGTGTTTACCATTCTTTGAGACATTGAAGGGGAAGAAAGGTTTCAAGTGGACAGAAGAGTTTGAAAGAGCCTTCTAGGAGCTGAAGAAACACCTCGGAACACCTCCCTTATTGTTAAAACCCATCCAGGGCAAGTCGCTACTATTGTACCTATCAGTATCAAAGTTAGCTATCAGCACGACATTGGTACGTGAAGAGAAAGGAATA